AAACTGATGTCAAAATTGTTGTTGAAAAACAAGAAAACTAAATTGTTATTATATCAATCTTATTAACTGCACATCGACAGTCACTAGCCTGTAGATAAATTAATTATCAAATGATAGATTGTGATCGAAGCCTGATGAAGACTTCAGCACAAAATGGCACTTACCACCATGTTTCTTACTCTCTCTCACTTCTTTCTCAGTCTTGATATCTATTTGCCCTCCCCCAATTTCTTTATTCTACCACTTTTATTCCACCCCTCCTGCTTCATTTGCTTTCTTCCTGGATTTAACATTTTATTAAGTTCAACTTCTTAAATAGTTGTGTTGAGGGTGATTATGTTTTTTCCTGGAATCTCCTGGCATATAGATTGCCATTGCTGGGTTTAATACAGACATTTTATGTAGGGCCCTGGGCTATTCCTCAGTTTAAGTCACCCTGTGTCCATTGTGGGTGCAGGTGTGTGGTTGTTTGGGGTCAAAGGTTATTGTGCTCTCCTGTCTTTAATACTTGCAATCAACTAGGTGGATTTGGTTGTAAAAGCTGTACAGCGTCACCTGTTAGTTGCAAGGATCTAGCAACAGCAATATGCACTACCTAAATAGCAAGGCTTGCTAATTTGCATATTCTGGTAGATTTGTATATTGCTAATTCTGCAGGCAGGAGAGGTATTTTCTGTTAATTATTGCTTCCCCATCCCTTTATACATATGTTATTATGCTATTATAATTTCCTGTATATTTTTATGGCATGTTTTGGTTATTTGAATTTTAATATGTTTGTCACAGCAATTTAAATATAATGATCACATGGGCTAGTCCCAAGAAAAATAAAATTTTGCATGTCAGTTCCTTTTGTGTGGATTTTATGGATCCTAGTGACAGAGTCTTAAGACCTATTTGCTGGTTGCAGGATCCCTCTAAACCTGAGATAAATCAAGAGAGCTAGACCTGACAGCTGCAATTGCCTTTATAAAGGCAACAACTATAATCACTGAAAGCAAAGCTGCAACAGAATAGGCGGAGGGGACGATAAATTCATGGCAGAAGAGCTGCAGTGGAATTGGCAGGGGGGACTACTGTATACTTGCCTGGAAAGAGAGCTTCTGCCTGGTAGGGTCAAAAGCTTCATAAGTCAAGCTGCGGCGACTGGGGCAGAAGTGTTCCAGGGTCCCTGCAAGCAGCTAGGAAGTGGACTTGGCGGAGGTAACCAGCTGGGGTACAGGGAGCTCTGTCACACATTTTATTAAGCTCAGCTCTCTAAGTGGTTGTGTTGAGGATGATTATGTTTTTTCTGGAATCTCCCGGCATATGGATTGCCATTGCTTGTAATAATAATAATTATAATAATCATCGGAATAGTTGTAATTACAATAATAACTCACAGGGTGGACTGGATAAAATAATACTATTCGCAAATAAATACTTTTCAATGCACCGCATGCTGCAAACCTCTAGCCGTTGTCATATATGTTGTCTCTGTTTTTTTAATTGTGGTATTGTTTGGAGGGAATCATTTTACAGTTGGTTGCAATGTGTCAAAAAGATAACGTTTTAAACACAATAGCTTAAGGAAATGGCATAAGAGATACTTTCTGGATGACACTCAATATAATAATTTAATGGCACGAAAAATAGCAGGGAAGCATAATTAGTTTTTTTATTCAGTGTCTGCCATGAATTATAGCTTGAGAAATAAACACTAAAACTGTGACAAGCAAATAGATGATAGGCCTTTATACTGCAATGTAGCAGAGACAGCTGGCAAGAGTAATAGTTCAATCGCATTTTGGGTCACACAGTAAGCTTTCTTTACTTCAATATTTGTGATAAAGAATTTGAAGCATTTTTAAACAATATTGAGACAAAATAAGCTTATATAATCTTCCTCAATTTGTAAATGTAAATCCTGATAGAGCTCTTAACATATACTCACTCAAATCTGTGTACCTTTTAAGATGCTGATTGCAAAATAAGTTTTTTCAATGTCACAAATAAATAGGGCAGCACAATAATAACACTGTAGTATCATTAAACTGTCTCAAAAAGGCAAGTAGGGTAGGTTTGTGGACTGGACTGGGGTATTTAAGGTCGGGGTAGACTTCTAGAGTTGGGAGAGTCATGATTACCAATCAATATTAAAAGACTGGACTCCAAAATAAAATATCCCAAACATTGGTTTAACAGCAACAACATTTGTGAGGAAGGCTGAACTTGATGGACGCAAGTCTCTTTTCAGCTATGTAACTATGTAATTAATGGACCACTATAGTGCCAGGAAAACACTAGTTTTCCTGGCACTATAGTGCCCTGAGGGTGCCCCCACCCTCAGGGTCCCCCTCCCGCCAGGATGGAGAGGAAGGGGTTAAATCTTACCTTTTTTTTCCAGCGCCAGGCTCCCTCGGCGCGGGGAACTCTCCTCCTCCTCCTCTCCCCGTCATCGGATGAATGCGCATGTGCGGCAAGAGCCTCACGCGTATTCAGCCAGTCTCATAGGAAAGCATTCTCAATGCTTTCCTATGGACGCTGGCATCTTCTCACTGTGAAAATCAATCCAGAGACTGGATTAACCCATAGATATACATAGCAGTTTCTGTGAAACTGCTATATTTACAGCAGAAAGGGTTAATCCTAAATGGACCTGGCACCCAGACCACTTCATTAAGCTGAAGTGGTCTGGGTGCCTATAGTGGTCCTTTAAGATACAAACATTCAGACAAACGTCCAATTTGCGTACAAAAGTAACTGCCGGATGTGCATGCATACCTGGTGGCTCAGGAGAAAATGACTATATCAATAATCTAAAAGAAGAAGCAATAATAAAGTTGTGTAAACTTGGCCACCCTAGCTCCTTTCTATATACACGAAGGCTGAAATTCAGCTCATTAGAATTGGATTACTAGCTGAATAAACCTTTAGGGAACTTGTGGGGAGCATCTCTGGTGGGTCTAAATCAAGTTGTGCATCCTCTCATAGTTCAGCGAATGAGCCATTCAAGAGCAACAGACAGTGGTGTATTTTGAATTTGTGCTGCCCTAAGCATGATGGAATGCGGGCATTTTAAATTTGCCACATCTCTTCCTGTCAAGGCCACACCTCTTCCTGTTAAAGACTAACACATGCTTTGATATACACACAGACACATCCTCACTGACCAGCACACACTCTTAGATACACTGACATACACTCACTGGCAGACACACATACTCACACACTCACTGATTTGACACAATCTGAAAGACACACACAAGTACTGATTTGACACAATCTGACAGACACACAAAATCACTCAGACACGCACTGATGCACACACTCACTGACAGACACACATTCACTGATAAACACACATTGACAGACATACACACACACACACTCACAGGCACATAATGATAGACAGACACACACATTCACTGACAGACACACACAAACTCACTCACAGAAACATACATACTCACTCACAGAAACACATTCACTGACAAACAAACTCACTGACACACACTCACTCAGGCACACTGACAGATATAAACACACACTCACTGACATACAAACACACTCAGACATACACATACTGACAGACAAACACAAACTGATAGACAGACATGCACACACATTCATTGACAGACAAAAAAAACTCACTGACAGATACACTCACTTAAAAACACTGACAGATATAACAACACACACACTGACATACACACACATTCCCCAACATTTATAAATAATTATTTACTTTTATTTTAGTTTAAATCCACCCAGCCTCCTACGTTTGGGCTGCACCCTCCAGAGATGCAGGATAAAAAAACTCAACCCATCAGAACTCCATGGGTAATTACCCCTTTCCTTACCAAAAGTAAATAGAGCGAAGGAACAAAAGTACACATAAATACGTATTTTTAAACTAATAATGTAAGGTGCAAATACCACACACGCAATCACCCCACACACAATATACACATCCTCTCAATACACAGCCACTCCCACAAAACACACAGACTCCCAACACAACACACCCACAGCCTATCACTGGTACCAAGTCCAAGGCTTCCACATTGAAGACAGAGACAGAGTAAAGTAGTATATCTACATTACAACCTCTAACAAACAAAATGTGTTAGGAATGTGATACTTCACATTATAAAGAGTTGGTTTCTCACAGGCTTCCCTAATAGTGATATATAGAATACTAAATACAAAACATATAGACATACAACCAACCAAAAATAGCACAGCACATGATATATTAAGTCTTTTTGGACAATATATTGTCTTTTTGTGAAGGA